GTGGCATCACTACGCAAAGTTACGTCAGCATTATGAATTTTGTATTCAGCAAGAATGCTCTTCACAGTTTCAGCATCTAGCTCACTCTGAGGACACTGAAGAGATAGAAGAAACAATGACTTGTAAGGGTGTAGGGAAGATACATACCCATGTACTTACTTGGATAATTCTAGCCTTAGTGTAAAGTAATTGTTAAAAATAATACCCTGAATAAGAGCAGCTAAATTTATTAGGAAATAACACTAAAATCTTTTCCAACTCCCCTTCATGCCATGCCAGCCCCACCCCTAGGGCACGCTGAGACAGCTAGCACCTAATCCCAGCACTTGGAGGCTGAAAAATAGGAGGATCTGTGTAGTGAGACCCTATAGACCCTGTACTAAATACATTTCAAAAAAAACCAAAAAAACTTTTTCCAATTCAAAGGATTTTTTTTTTTCCCTGTACCGGGGATTAAACTCAAGACCTTATGCTTGCTAGGAAAGCACTTATTCTACTGAGCTATCTCCCTGGCCCTTAAAGGAAGACATTAATGGGCTAAAATGTGTCTCTTTTCATCCTCTCCCCCACCTCAGTCCCTTACATTCAAATGTTGAAGTTCTACCTTCAGTATCTTAGTATGTGACTACATTTGGAGAGAGGGGTTTTCTTTTCTTTTTTTCTTTTTTTTGCAGTACCAGGGATTGAACTCAGGACCCTGCACTTGCCAGGCAAGCAGTTATTCTACTGAGCTATCTCCCTGGCCCAGAGAGAGGGGTTTTGAAGAGATCACTGGAGTGAAATCATTAGGGTGGGGTCCTAATCTAAAACCTGTATTACCAGCCCCTTGATTTTAGATTTCTAGAATTAGGAAAATCAATTTCTACTGTTTAAGCCACCCAGTGTGTGGTACCACATTATTGGAGCCCTAGCTAACCAATACAGCAAGTTTTGAGTGCTCAAATCTACTTTTGAGAAAGGCCCTTGCCAGGCTAGCCTTCTACTCATTATGTGTCCCAGACTGACCTCAAACTACTGGAGATCCTCTGCTTTCTTAGCTTCCCCAGGCCTGGGTGCCACCATGCTCCACACAGGACATTGGTTTGTTTGCTTGTGTGCCTGTTAGTTTTCTTTGGCTCAGGTTAGATTCCTTGCTGAGAGAAGTGACCCTAGCAGAGGAGAGGAGTGACCCTGCAGACCCCACCACACATCTGCTCAGACAGGTCCCTCAGCCTCCACCTTGCCTTAGGCAATGACCTTCATGGCAATCCTGTCCTATTCCTGGAGCCAAAGTCCCTCTGTCCTGTATGCTGAATAACAATGTCCTGTATGGTTAAAGGTGATAAAGATGCTCTAAGTATTTTACTCTGATGGCCCCTGCTTCATGGTAGGTAAGAGGCTCCTTCACTCAGCTATACCCCAGTTCTGTGTGATGTGCTTCTTACCACAGTTAGGACAATAGCAACAACAACCTGAATGCTCACATTTAAACATTATAATAGGATAACAGAAAGATCTTGTGCGCAGAACACCTTAAATCAGAAACAACTTACTTGGTTTCCAAGATTCTAAACTTTTCTGGTTTTCCTTGTCTGAAAAATCTTATTTCCTTAAACATCTGATCTTTTCTATTTCTTAGCAATCTCAGCTAGGCTTCTGGCTTTTAAAGTCTCCAGATATGTTTTTCTTCTGCCTTTCTACCAACAACACTCTGGTGTCTACATGGCATCTCAAACCTAACCTCCTGAGCTTCCTCTCCCCTCCAAACTAATTTTACTTGACGTCCTACAATTTTAGTAATGAAACTTCATTTTTCTAGTTCAATACAAATATCTCAGTCATCTCTGAATCTCTTTCTCTCATAACCCACAATCCAACACAACTGTAATGCCTAATATACTACCTTCAAAGTTTTCCCACAATCCATCACTTCTCTTTTCACCCACTGTTACAACCCAGGTTTAAGAAGCCATCATTTCTTGACTGAATTATTGTGATAAGAGTGTATATGAATTGTGTTTTATTACTTTTTTTTTTTTTTTTTTTTTGCAGTACTGGGGATTGAACTCTGGAGGAAAGCACTTACTCTACTGAGCTATCTTCCCAGCTACTGTTTGGTTTTGGTTTGGGTTTTTTGAGATAGGATCACATGATTCAGTCTAAGCTAGCCTGGAAGTTGCTCCTGTCTCCGCCTCCTGAGTGCTGGTATTTCAGGCATGGGCTGGCACAACACACCCAGGGTTCTGGGGTTGGTACACCATGCGATACTCAGGATCAAACTTGGGCCCTTGCACTTGCCATGCAGGTGCTTAGACCACCTAGCTATCTAACCAGCCCTCAATCTATTTCTTAACACAATAGCCATTATGATTCCAGTAACACCTAAGTCAAATTATATAGTTACTCCATAGTTCAAAACCCAAGCAACAGATTATATAGCCCTATGCTAGGACTACATCTCTACCTACTCTTCTACTTGCTCACTCTCTTGTTCCTCAACCACAAAAGGATGTGCTCTACTTCAGGGACCTGCAGTTAGATTGCAACTCTGTGTCACCAAAGCAAAGATTTCTCTGTACACTACATTAAAAAATGTAACCACTATACCACTATCCTCTTCCTCTAGTTTACTTTTTTCCTTAGATTTAGTATTGTCTTATGCACTGTTTTTACTCAATAATTTTGTTTGCTACTATATCCAAAAGTGGGAGTTTGTCTATCCTGTTTGCACTTCTGCTTTCTCAACATCAACACCACTGCCCATGCAATAAAATAATGCTTGGACTCTATAAACTTGTGTTAAATGCACAAAAACACAGGATACTGGCAGCCAACCACTTCATACAAGCATAAGATTAGTCTACACTTCTACACTACCCTAAACAGAAAAATCCAAAGAGGGAAATGAAATTGTCAATGTAAGTCTAACTTTAAAATCTTTTATCATCTTTAGTACATCATTATATTATCTCAACTAAGGTAGAGGAAAGCCAGAAAATTTCCAAATTCAATGTCCATGAACCTCAATCTCCTCCCTACTGTTGTTTCTTCAGTAGCCTGTCTCATATCATCTTCTCTACTTACAGTGGCTGTGAGATTAATGCCTCCTTTGTCTTTCTTCTTAAAGCCTATGTTAGGAGGTTTGCTATTCAAGCGAATTCCAAAGCCTTCCAGCTCATTTTCAATTATCTTCTTGTGTCCCAAGGGTTTCAAGACATCCAGAACAATCAGGATCAAATTACATGTACGGGCCACTGGGGGGGGAAAGATTATAGCCAAAGATCAATAAGGCTTAAATGACTCAAAATAGAGGCCTTTTCTCCCTATACTTAAAAAAGATGGACTTTACAAATATATACACACATAAAACTCTTAAAGTGACAGATTTACACCAGGGATCAATTTCAGAACATGTCTCAAAATCTTTATATACTAAAGTTGACACATCTACATATACTAGTAAAAAAAAAAAAAAAAGTCAAAATGACACAAGCTGGGCGTGATGATGCACTTTTTGTCTCAGCACTTGGGAGGCTCTGGCAAGAGGACTGCCATGAGTTTAAGGCCAGTCTGAACTACACAGTGAGACACTGTCTCAAAAAATAAAAAGAAGGGGCCGGGGAGAGGGCTCAGTGGAATAAGCGCTTCCCTGGCAAGCACAAGGGCCTGAGTTCAATCCCTGGTTCTGCCAAAAAAAAATAAATAAAAAGAAGACACAAATCAGACAATAACCTAAACTCTAAAAGAGCTTATGAAGATTTAAAACAGGAAGATCTGTAAAATAGTATCAAGTTAGCACACGTCTGATCAACTTTTAAGCACATAGTTTGATGACAAATATATATACCTATGTTACCACCACAGCAAATACAGAAGATTCATTCTCCAAAAAGGGCCTTTGTGCCTTCTTCAATTTTTTTCCTCTATTCCTAACCAACCACTGACCTGCTTTCTGTTACTACAAGTAGTTTACACTTTTTGGAATTTCACATAAATGGAACCACGTAATTCTGGGTGTGGTGGTGCATGCCAGTAGTCCCAGGATTCACGAGGCTAAGGCAGGATAGACATGAAGACATGAAAAGGTAACAATATCACTAGTCTCCAGAGAAAACACAATCATAATAAGGTATCACTAAATTCTGGTTAGAATTGATAATATTAAAAAAGAATGATGTAGCAAGTGTTGGTGAGAATGTATAGCTGCTGGAATTCTTGTAGACTGCTTATGGGAATGTAAAATTGTAGAAATCCTTGGATAGCTGTTTAGTAGCTCATAAAAACCTATACCTATGATGTGAACCAACAATTCACTGTTATTTAACCAGGAGAAATAAAAATAAATGGCTACAGCACTGAGATTGTGTCTGAGACTGGGTGTGGTAGTGTGGGCCAGCTCTTGGGAGGCTGAATACAGAGAGAGCACTACGAGTACGATCTATGTAGTGAGACCCTATAGTCCCTGTACTAAAAAAGAAAATATATGGCCACAGAAAGATGTTTGTGAATGTTCACAGCAAATTTATACCTAATAACCCAAAACTAAAACAAACTAGTAGAGCTAGCCAGATAGTTCAGTGGACTAAAGCACCTGCTTAAGCTTAAGCAGGCGCAGAGACTGGGGTTCGATCCCCGGTGTACCGTGGCGGCCCCCGCTCCCGGATATGCTGAGTCGGCAACTTAAGACTGGGCATGGTGTGGTGAACACCTGTAATCCCAGTGCTTGAGAGGCTGAAAACAGGGGATCACTACAAGTCCAATCTGCGTAGTGAGACCATCTATGTGTCTTTCAGCAGGTGAATAATACATAAGCAAATGATGGTAAATCTGTAAAACGAAGTACTAGTCACTTATGAGAGAAATATCATTGATATCTACACAACATGGTTAAATATTTTAAAAATAGAATAAAAGAGCTAGAAACAAAAGACTTTTTTTTTTTTTTTTAAAGTCAAGGTCTTAGCTGGTCTTGAATTTGCAATTCCCCTTTCTTTCCTCTCTTGAGTACCAGGCTTACAGGTATGTACCAACACAACTGTTGTTTTATGTGGTTCTTTTCGAGCATGGTTTTGCTCTCCAATTAGAATGCTTTAAATTCACTCTGTCTAAGGGAAAACCCAGGGATACTCAAGGAAAGGATTTTTGTTTCTTTTTTGATACTGGGGATCAAACTCAGGGACCTTCCATTTACTAGGCAGGCCCTTATGCTGCTAAACTATCTCCTCAGCCCCAAGAATTTCTGTTTTAAGTGCAAGTCTAAGACGTCTGGACACTATGCACAAAACTGCACCAAGCCACTGCCTGGGCCTTGCTCCAAGAGTAAGGGGCTAGAGCAGCCAAAATCCCCATATGCTGGTCTGAGGAGGCCCAAGGGAATCTGTATTACCCCAGACCATGGACATTATCATTTCTGGTGAAGAATACTAGATAATATTGGATGTTATGAGCCAATTCAATTACTTCATTTAGTTTTGACTTTCATCTCTGTAAAATCCTTCCCCAGATCTATAGCCATAGCTGGGATCAAGGGGAACCCTACTGTGGCTCTCAATTATTTATTTATTTATTTATTTATTATCTCCAGAAAGGTGTGAAGTTTATTAATATCTTGAAAAAACAGGAGCAGTTATAGGACACAGCTACCAAATACACTTTTGTACAAGTTTTATGATGAAAGGCAAATTTTAA